TGGCTTATTGTGTTTTACCCCATGTTAGTTCATAGCACCCACTCTGTCACCTTTGTACCTTGTACAAGTTTGTACAGATCCTTGGCTGAGCGGGTTCTATACGTTGTTGGATCAACCTGGGGTTGTCCAAAAAGAGCCTGTCTTTTGCGATCTAGAGCTTCGCATTCGCACAGTATGTGTTTGGCCGTTTCTGGTTTCTTGTGACATAGTCGGCACATGAGTTCCCCATTATACATGCCAATTTTGTTTAAGTGTCCCTTTACTGGGGCGTACCCAGTCATGAACCATGTTATCACTTTTAACTGGTTCCTATTCATTGAGAGTAGTTCTCCAGTTCTTTTGGGACATGGTTTGTCTATGAAGGCTTTTCCATGTGTCTGTTTTGGGGTGTTTCCCCAATAGTTATGTTGCTCCCGAATCCAGTCGTTTATGAAACCCCGGACTGTACTTTTTGGTACTCCTGGGTTTGTGTCTGGTTCCGGTGTTTCTTGACCCTCTTTTTGCAAGTTCGTCAGCCTTTTCGTTGCCTTCGATCCCTTGATGACCTGGCACCCAAAATAGTTTTACTCTATTTCGGTCTGCCAGTGTTCTTAGTTCATCGATGCATTCCCATACCAGCCTCGACGTAACTTTCTGACTCGATATGGCCTTAAGTGCCACTTGGCTGTCTGACATTATTTGAATATGCTGATTTTCGACAGCTCTTTCATTGTTCGTTTTTGCACATTCCAAAATTGCGTATACCTCGGCCTGAAATACCCAGGAATGTATTCCTATAGCATAGCTATGGTTAGTATTAGGGTTTTTGGAAAATACTCCTGCCTCAGTGCCTTCCGCAGTCTTAGACTCGTCTGTATACCAGGTTTGTTCCTGTCGTTGGGCATTGGGCTCCCTTATGGTGATCTCCGCTAATTTCTGTATTAAAACCTCAAATGGAGTATTAAAAGAGTACCTCTTGGTTATGTGGTCTGATCTCATGTCTAGCACGTCTCCTGTCACTAACCTTGAGATACTCATGTGACCTGGCCTAATGTCAAGATTTCCCAGTATATTCCCTAATCTGTCAGCACCTAATCTTACCTCCCCTTGTATCACATAGTGAAGAGGTGGGAGTCCTATTAGTGCTTCCATTGCAGCAGTGGGGGTTGTTTTCATTGCCCCCGTTATTCCGAGGCAGGCAAGTCTTTGTACCTTGCTTAGCCTCGTTATTGCTTTCCTCTGCTGTGTCTTTGGCCACCACACCAAAGCTGCGTGGTGGATAGAAAAACTTAGTATTCAATATCATTTAGACAAAAAACAAAACCATGTTTAAATGAACATAATAAATAAAATATGACCATTCTTGAACAGAGATATATTTATTTGTATTATGAAAATAATGTTTATGTCAACAAATATATGTTCGGTATATATAACAATTTGTAAAGATAACTCTTGTGTAAATGTTAATATTTAAAGGTTTTAAATAAGAGCTTGAAGATATGACAGTTCGAAAGTTCTTTTATTGACAATATAACTTTTTTTGTAATTAAAGCATTAGTTCCTATTTTTCAGTTAAGCTCCATAAATCAATTCATATTTTAATCTGAACGGTACCTAACACAGTAAAGTTGCAACAACTAAACAATATAATGAACTTTTAAATGAAATTCAATTTATATTTAGAATTAAATAAGTAAGCCAAAATTTTTGAACGTATGAAGTTATTAAAGTTATCAATAAAAACGTTACAAAGATTCATATGTGAATTTTCAATTTCTATTGATGTGATTGTTACTCATCTGCGTTTTACAATATCAATACATCGCTTGGCTTTGGCACAAAACCCTGTAATGTATAATTTCTAATCCGAATCAGAATATTGATATTATTAGTTATAAACTTAAAATCGAAATCCAAAAAATTAGTATATCTGAAAAATAAGTGGCTGAAATAATTTGAAAATTCGGAAACAAATTTTAAAAATCCCCTACGAATTATTATGACCATCCCCGAACCCCAAAGGTAAAAACACATACTTGGAAATTAAAAGAAAAGCCTGTACTGTGCTGAGATTAGAACCCAGACATCTTTGTTTTGTACCCACAAGTTAAATGATTGTTCATCTATAAAGCCAAATATGAACTGAATTATAATAAAATAAAAATATTAATATAAAAATGCAAATTTGCATTCTGTTGTTAAGGTAAATCAAGTAAAGTAAGCAGAACGACATCTCTCATATCTACAAAGTATTTCTGGGAATATAACTCACATTCTCAACCTGTAGACCAGCCATACTCAACTTGCGACCCGCGGACCGCATGCGGCCCTCGTAGCTTTTTTGCGGCCCGAAACACTATTATTGGTCGCAGCGCTAAATAGCACGCTAATTTTTAAATAAACGTTTGGAATTTTCTGGGGTTACTGCAAAAACAAGATAGCTCCACTTTTGGAATTTTCGAGTTAACTAGGTATTTCTACAAATGTGAACGAAGTCTATATTCGGGATAAACAGATGGCCAATAAAAACTAACTCCATATTAATACATTATCAATGTGCACAAACAAGATGGAGTGGCATTTATACCAAAACATAATTATAACATTGTGTTCAATTGCTAAATGTGTCTACCAAAACCAGATAATAGACATATAACTTATTTTTGCTAAATATATTTAGTCCGATTTCTAATAGTTTTCCTGCTAAAACAAGATAAAATCCAGAACCGAGGGGAAACCACTAAGGTTAAAACTTACGTGTATTTTGAAAATCACATAAAAACTTTTTATGTGATTTCGGCAATTTCACTCAAAATCCACCTTAATTTTGTACAATAATCTTTTTTTCTCGGCATTTACGGACGAATTGATTTAGGCGATGATTTGTACCATATTTTTTGATGATGGTTTTGGAATTTTCGAGAAAATTTGTGGTGGTTTTGGTGATTTCAAGTAAAAACGTACCGCTACTTGTTTTTGTTGAATGTGTTTGTTGAAATACTGCAACATTGTGCCCACGTCATTTATTTTTTTATGACAAGAGCCGTCTCTGACCTTTCTCAATTGTTCCGAAATCCATGAGATTATTACGTTACCCTTTTTTCCAAAATTCAGCTAACCTTTAATAACTACTAGATAATAACACGTGATGTCCAAATCTACACGATTAACGAGTGATTGGTCAAGATGTAACGGGTAATTGGACAAGCTGTAACGAGTGATTGGTCAAGCTATAACGAGCGAATCTTTATGAGAAAATTCGTAAATAAAAGTATTAGTGGAAACAGGTAAATTTCAATTTTAACCTTACTTTCTAATAGACAACTTGTATCGAAATATTCAGCTCTACTAAATTAATTCCACCAGAAAAATAGATTTAATTTATCAATGGGCGAGGGTGGCATTTGGTTTAATATGTCAAACTCGCACAGTATTTATTCAGAGGGATGCATGAAAGGATGAAACAAAATACTTACAAAAAAGTACAAGAAGAAAGATTTACAAAATTTATTCAAAATCAGGTTCTACAGCTGATGAATTTCATCATTATTATCACAATCTACCTGTATCCAATAATGTTAAAGACCCCGTACCTAAATCTTCGATTGAAAATAGTGACACATACATTGAATTATGATTTGTATGTAGAGCTAAAATATGCTAAGGGACGTTTTTTTTCTTCTTTTTTTTTTTACCAATTATTGACAGATTCTTAGTTTATACTTTGTGAACAACGTTTTCAATACCTTCTTCATTGAAGTTAATAAAAATATTGAAGCTTCTACTGATTTTTTTTATTCAATTTTAAACTTTTAAACAGTGTTTTATTGAAACTCTAAAAATGCGAGTTATCTTGTTTTTGCAGTAACTTAACGGGATATATTTATGTTTTGTGTTTTATTTATTAGAGGTCTCCACTAACTAATTTTAGATAGATGGCCTAAAAAAAAGATCATCATCCAAAAATATTGTGACCCGTGTAACATAGTACACATACAAATGTGGCCCGAAGAAAAAAGTTTGAGTATGGCTGCTCTAGACCATCGTGACATAGACTGTCCATATTCCAAGACGGCACCTTGAAGTGCTAATTTGGCCCAAGCGCCGTTTCAGATTCGTTTTCAAATCTTGTTACATCTTATTAATGAATTACGACCTATATTATTTTTGTTTTCCAGGTCTTAATCAAAATTGTCTAAATGAAGTTCTATATTTTTAAGCTTGAAGTTGCACTCGTCTTTGTCTTCAGTTTTGCTAGTAACATTTAAAATATCATTGTCTTCTAAATTAATGCCAAAGATTGTATCATTAAGATAACTTCTGGTGGAAAAAGTTTCTTACCCTCCACTTAGGAATCATTCCGAGTAGGTTGTAAAGCCTTTGACTGGAGATGTTTAAGAGTTAGAATGGATAACATATTCACGAAATACACTTATTTCATAACGATTGCATTTCTTTTATATACTCTGCATTTTTCCAGATACTTTATATATCTATTTTAATTTCAAATTAAAATTTAGCGAAATCAAAAGCCCCTTAAAAACAACTAACGTTTCATTTTTGTAGAAAAAAGCAGTTTTTTTGTATTTTTGGAGTCCATATTAGATCTGCTATTTTATACTTTGATCATCTGATAGCAGATACGTAATCGTTGAATCCAAAAACCACTAGATACTAAATTTCATGAAAACGAGAAAGTTTAAATTCACGTCCGCCATATTGGATCCGCCATTTTAGACCCGCCATATTGGATCCACCATTTGAGATATGCCATATTTGATCCACCATATTGGATCTGCCATATTGAATCCACAATATTAAATATGTGATATTGGATTCCCTATATTGGATACGCCATACTGGATCCGCAATTTTGAATCTTGCCCATAGTGAGTCGATTTTTTGTACTCAAGTACTTATAATTTTAAGAGGGATAAGAAATAAAACCAGACAATAATAAAAAAAAATGTATTTTTATATTATGAAAATATTAACCTAAATAAATAAATAAAACTTTTTCTATGCTTTTTTTTATCAATACAAATATTAATATAAATAAATAAAACCTCATCTACTTCTCTTTTGTCTACCAATATAATACCGTCGTTATGGAGTGTGAGGATAGTTCTAAGGATATTTGTCCTTTCACGGCATCCACTATGGATCTTCGTTGGATACTGTCGCTTCTGAAATAAGAAAAAAAATACAAATGTTATTTTCCTTCTTATTACAGAAAGTTTGGCACGTGAGAAATAAAATTTATTGTTCTACGATAAAACGGCATGTGTCTGGAAAATTCGAGAGTTCCAAAGTGGGAAGAAAGGAGTAAAAAATCCACACGAAGTAAATTAAAGGTTGAAAATTTATTGTACACAAAGGACGCGTTTCATTGTTGTTCTTCGAACTTTTTAATTAGTTGACTGTTGAAGTAGTCAAATTTTTTAGTGACCCACAAAAAATGTTTCTTTAGAAGCATTGTCGTAGCGTAGAATTATTTTTTTTAAGTGACAGTTTGAATTTATTTCAGAGATGTGGGTAGTCATCATAGATATGATTTGTATCTCTATTTTTTGGGTGGACATTCTTCCAAAGACGAAAGGTCTCGTGCTTGATCTGACAGTGTCAGATTTTTACTGACTAAAAGCCACTCATTGCTGTTTTCTTGTAGACACCGGGATCACCTGTTAGGTATTTATTTGTACCTGCTGTTCAAATTACATTCAAACACGCAAAAATTACTCACTCACTCACTAATAATCTTACAGTAAGTCATTGTAGCCCTTCTGATGACCTTGCAGGAATTTCAGAGCAAACTTCCGTCCTTGCAGTTTGCTTAGCCGGAGGTCCCTGGGCGAAGTGCATGGAACCCCGCATCATTCATTATTTACCATTTTTATAGTTAAGTCATATATTGCACATATAATATTTTTTTGTAACTTAACAATTAATAAAATTTGTTTTTAAAAACGAATTTCGGCTTCTTAAGTAGCTAATTAGAGTAGAATATCCGGGAGTTTACGTATCGAACGTGAATTTTTCGTTAAACGATTAACTGGATATCGAAATTAACAACGGGTGTGTCATTCGTAAAGGTATTGTGTTGGCGGCTTCTTCAACTTCAGAAAACCGACTGTCCATCGAGGAACCAGCTCAGACCAATCAACGAGGCACCGAAATTTGGAACAAAAATTGTCCAAATTTTCTTCAGAAAACACTCTAGTGAAGACTTCATCGCTTTACTAGGTGAGATGCTAAAAGTCCTTTTCGTTCTGTTTCCCATTGTACTTGGGCTTCGGGAACAAATCTCCCTCAGAAATTTGGACAACAACTTAGCATTACTCCCCCTTAAGTTAGGCTCAGCAAAAATTGAAGAATATTCTTACAAAATTGTGCATTTTAAATCCACTAATAAACGAAATCGAAAAATTCAATTCTGAAACTTCTCAAATTCTATATGCGGTAAATAAAAATCAAAATTATTCGTGGGATATCTCTAATTACATAAAGATATTAGAATTTACTATAGATAAAGTGGATACAAAACTATTTAACATTATTCCAAAACCACAACGTTCCAAGAGAGGTTTAATTAATGGGCCAGGTTCAGTTTTTACATGTATAACAGGCAACTTAGATGCCTCAGATGGCGAGAGATATGAAAATTTAATAGATAATCTGCAGAAAAATTAAGAACAATTAGCGTCCAACTTAAACTCACAAATTTCACTTTCTGTCAATACAATAAAAACCTTTAATGCTATTATTCAGAAAATTAGTCATAATGAAAAGTTATTAGATTCAAAAATAAAGCAAATCAAATTAATAGTTAATTCAGTAATTTACAGAAAAAATTCACTATTTATTAAGGATGTGATAAATAAATTTTCGAACATGTACGAAATAATTCTTTCAATATTACAGGATATAGAAAACTTTAACTTTTGCAAGATTAAAAATAATGCATCCTAGTATAATGAAAACAACAGATCTCTTTTTAGCTCTAAAATCAATAGAAAATAAAATTCCAAAATCACAACTTCCTTTTGAAATTACTTTAGAAACTACACAATTATACGAATCTATAATAAAAATTGAATGCTACATTTATAAAAATAAATTAACCTATATTCTTAATAACTTACTTAGATATCTTTAATATGTATCATTTATATTCACTGCCCGTCCCTAATAAGGGTCAGTTCAAGGTAATCATTTCCAGAATTAAATTCATGTCAAAAAGTCAGTTGCACTTTACTCTTTGAAACCACAATTGCATCAAAACTCCCCTCAAAAATTACATTTGCGACAAACAAGAAATAGAAGGAATTAGCAGCTTCTTGTTTTGGATATGAAAAACACTTCACAATATGCAAGCAAATTCATTTTTCTCTATCAAACTCAAAATTTAATCAATTGGGAGACACCAGTAACTGGATAGGTGTATTTCCAAACGAGGAAGTCATAAAGGTTACCTGCAACGAAAAACAAGAAGTCAGAAAGTTAAAAAGAACGTTTTTAATCGAAATTCCAATAGGATGCCAAATTCAGTCACCACTAGAGACGCTTGCCAATGAAAAATCAATAGCCAATAGCCAACCAATACTTCTTCCTGACATTCAAATCACGAACGACACACTGCCATCCCTAAAACCAGGAGTACCCTTAGAAGATATCAAGTAAGATCAGCTGTCAGATATTCTACACCAAGCTACAGAAAACCATCCCTTGTTTTGGACAACTAGTATATCGCATATGCCCAGCGTGTGCACCATAGTCATCTACATTATGATGGCGGAAGTAATCACAGCCTTTGCCTCAACATTTTAAGGTCCATATAACCATATCACCATCCATTCAACTCCCTCATCTACCCTCGTGAGTTGAAACTTCGGTGGGAGGAGTCATTTCAGCTCTTCTGATAACCTTGCAGAAATTTCAGCGCAAACTGCCATTCGTGCAGTTTGCTTAGCCGGAGGTCCCTGAGCGAAGTGCATGGAACCCCGCCTCATTCATTATCTACCATTTTTATAGTTAAGTCATATATTGCACATATAATATTGTACATATAATCGCTACCAAATTAAGAGTGGCATCAATTAGAAAGGTGGTCACTATTCGTAAACTTGAACTATGTACAGTGCTTTTGTTATCTAAATTTACTTCAAAAATCTTAAGAATTTTCAAAAACAAAACAAAAATAACTTTAATTAACTTGTAGTGAGATTCGCAAATTGTTTTGTCTTGAGTAAGGGGACATCCCTCTTGGTAATTAGTGTACGTTGGTAACAGGGTATCTCAAATTCAATAAGTGTCGTACAGCGCACAGTGGCGCCACTTTTAATCGGGGCAGAATCCTGCTGACTTGATTTCTAGAGGTACGTTTAGAGGCAACGTTTCGGATTTTTGGTAATAAATTTAGATGATTTTGATACATTTCAAATTACAACTTGTCCCCCCTGAAGAGCAAAAAGTTTCTTTAATCACTAATATTGCCAAATCTAAACCAATTGGAAAACAGATTTTTGGATTCAAATTTTTACCAAGCTTCAACGCACAGTGGCCTACATATTTCGTTTCAGGAATAATCTAATAAAAGTGACAAAATAAAAAATCCAATAAATGTTTAGTTAATTCAGTCTAATTTAACAATATCCACTAAAAACATCTTAGCTTCTAAACATTTTGTGCATTCTGACCGACTGATCCGAGTAGAAGGTCGACTAGGAAATGCGCAAATTCCATTTGAACAAAAGTATCCAGTACTTTTGCCTTAGAAATGTCACCTAATTAAAACATAGTAGTCCACAAAACAGTTTATCATATTATATGAGATTAAGATAATGGCCTTTAAATGCATTTCGTAAAATTAAACAAATAAATTAAAAATTTACAATGTGTCATAGATTCAATTAATCTGCGCAACAAATAATGGTAGGTCTACCCATGACAGGGTGGTTATATCAAGGCCATTTCAAAAGGTCGGCGTAGACTTTGGTGGTCCTTTTTTAATGATTACCTCAACTTTAAAAAAAGCTCCACGTTCTAAATGCTATATAGCAATTTTGGTTTGCAAGGTTACTAAACCAGTCCAAATAGAATCAGTCTTTACTTTGCCCAGAGATGCATTTTTAGAAACTTTCAAACGTTTTATTTCTATAGTGATGACGCTACCAATTTTTTAGGAGCAAAAACTCAATTAAAAGTGCTTTATGATTTTTTAAAAAGGCCTTTAAATTCTCATTCAATCATTACATTTATCAACCCTAGAGATTCAGTAGATTTTCATTCCGCCCAGAACGCCTCATTGTAACGCAACCATTAACGCAACCATTAAAAGTGCATAATATCATTTAATTCGAATAATAAGCAACTTATCCTTTACTTTTAAACAACTCAACTCTGTTTTAATTCAAAATTTCTAAACTTAAGGCCACTTTACTCAATGTCGAATGACCCTTCGGGTGATCAGACACTGACACCAGGGTATTTTTTAATGGGTACTTCACTTTCAGCTTCTCCAGAAAAAGATAAATAAACTTTCATTTTAGCAAAAATGAACAACATTTTTTGGACAAAATGGTTAAAATAATATTTAAACAAAACAGACCAGAATGGTGAACTCCTCCAGATAACCTTGAAGTTGGCGATATCGTGTTATTGAGGGACATTGACACACCTCCTCGCATGTGGCAACTGACAAGAGTTTTAGAAACATTTCAAGGTAAAGACGGAAAAGTCCAATCCATTAAAATTTTAATAATGAAAAACTTTTTTGTAAGACCCATTTCCAGGATAGTTAAATTCATTAAAGACGATCTGAATCCAGATGATTAGACGTCACAGAGGTCCTGCTCGAAGTAAAAGATACTCAACTCATAATCTTTTTTAACTCATCTTTTGTTATCATATGCATCTAACAGCACTAGAGTCATTGTTCTTTCAACTTCTGTAATGTCCGTACATATCACGGGCCAACAGTACTTAATGCTACTGGTGGAAATTTACCTTTAAGCTCAATACTTGGTCTTGACCTCTCAGGCTCAGATTTCGTCGTTTCTTACTTTAGATCATAAAAAATGTTCGTTCTTAGATAAGATACAGTACACAGTACGCACACATTTTAGTAGTCGGACCCAGGGGCTAATGGGGTAATATTATTTTATTTAAATCTCGGATGTTACATTTT